GACAGCAAGCCATTGACCAACTGCCCTCGGGACACAAGACACACGCTGGAACATGCTGGGGAAAAACAACACATCGTTTCAGTCATCTGTCCTCACAGTTCCTTTTCATCGCATATGGCATCGAATAAGACACATGCAATGCCATACTGGACAGTTCTGGTCTTCGGTGCATTTTGGAGAGACCTCTGCCATATTTGCAGAGGCTCGAAGACGGAGCACCAGTACTGAAAGAATGGAAGAAAAAACATGAAACAACCAAAACAATCAAAAGGATAGAAAAGGCAGCGACAAGCTCAATTCCCTCTCAGTCTCAAACCCAGAAACAAGCAGATGCTCAGAAGATCCAAAAAACCATCTTGCAATCAATCAGCCCGTGTCAATACCCGACTGTGACTAGTGACTAGTGATTGCATGATAGTTGAGAATCCTGAACCATCTCGTATTATCGTCACAGCATGTCACAACACGACAAACTGTGACAGCAAGCCATTGACCAACTGCCCTCGGGACACAAGACACGCACGCTGGAACATGCTGGGGAAAAACAACACATCGTTTCAGTCATCTGTCTTCACAGTTCCTTTTCATCGCATATGGCATTGAATAAGACACATGCAATGCCATACTGGACAGTTCTGGTCTTTGGTGCATTTTGGAGAGCTCCTCTGCCATATTTGCAGAGGCTCGAAGACGGAGCACCAGTGAGTCACCATCCACTACTTAGCACGGAAGATGCACAGAAGACATGCTGAAAGATACCTGTTTGCCAACTGGCACCTGTATGTGTCCAATGAGACTTGAATATCTTGACTGCCGGAAGATTCCAACCCTTGCCAACACTTGTTTCTTCGCCCAAAACTTGCTGCCCTTCTCAGTTCCTGTATTCCAGCCCTCCAAGAACTCTTTGCCGATATCTTGCGGCTTTAACATGTTTTAATGGTTAGATCGCACTAATATATGTCAACTAACGGTCAGATTGTTCTATATCCTATTCACATGGGTTTCAATTAAAACAAACACCATAATTATATATATATATAAATGAAACACGGCACCCTATCACTCGCTGGGCCCTCTGTAGTGGGATATCGCACATCGAACACATTCTTGCCAGGCTTGCTTGGCCTTACTCGCCCTTGGGGAGGTGCCTAAGCTCTTGGTAAAGAATGGTTGGGATTCTTCTTGAGCGGGCACTACCCTCGTTGCAACCTAATTATGAGGTGAAACAGCAAACAAGGGTCAAGCAGTGTTCCTTCACTGCAAAGTAAACGCGGCAATCAACTGTCACCAAGATAAGAAGCAGCAGTCCGACAGCCCTGGCCTTCTCGGTAAACATTCGTACCCGCTGGGAGTCCGACAAGCCTTAGACCGTCGGTCCAGTGGCGACCGGACATGGCGGGCTTCCGAAAGTAACTGGACATGACTGCGACAGTTCCAATAGAAGAGCCCTGGAAATGGGCGATGGAAGAAGTACTGCCCTGCACCAAGCCGAAAAGGAAACGATGCACGGCATTGGCATTGACCGCTTATTGGATTGTTTTGGGTGTTGGATGCGTTTCTACCGAATAGCTTCGACATGATCATGATCTCGACCCGACGAGAAATCATCACCACAGGACCTCATTGACCCGATCCACGTGTCTGGATGATGGTGACCACAAGCTTTTCCATGGTGAGACCACTGGGGGTCGAAGAGCCATCGATTTATTCCACGTTCCAGTTTAGCCTGCGCATGTTGCCATGTTTCGGGGATGTTGGTAGCCCTACTTCTGGAGAGTTGACTATGAACGACTGTGACATACTATGAACTATGAACTGATCAATATATATATATATAAATAATCTATTGGACGTTGAACGTTGCTTCTGCCTATTTGAGTGACCGTGGTGGAGCATGTGTTGGAGGTGCACGATTGTGTATTGTTTAGGGGAAAATCGGGGTGACATACCATACCAAACAAATTCTGAGAAGATTGATAAATTCAGGACTAGGTTGGTGAACATCGATTGGATTTGCTAACAATCTGCTGAAGTGACTCTGGAACTGACACAATAGGTTTCAGTACTGGAACCTGTTCTGTTGCAGCAACCACACATCTTGAGGACGCCCCTTGTCCCGCCACGTGTGAATCCGGGACGGACCACAGACCACAACCTGGACACCTCCGCGCCGACACGGCTGAGGATCGCCGCTGAGCACCCGCTGTGCCTTCACGTCGGCATCGCCTAAGGATCGGCCCACCTGAGACGACGGATCAACGGGGAAAGAGGTGAGGAACGAGTTTTGAGGCGAGGGAAGGACCTGCTGTTGGAGAGTTCTGGGAATTGGCTTTGTCGGACTGGCATGTTTTCTTCTCCAATCTTCCATACGAGCCAAAGTTCATCAACGTTCGAAAGGTACTTGGGGCAGTTCAAAACACAAAAAAAAAGTGCTCCGAAGCCATAGAAGTTGATTGAACAAGTTATAAGGATGTCACGCATGTTATATGTCTGGACCCGTGCCCAGAAAAAGGTCCTTGCAAAGTAAACACACCTTTGACGGACATGGGCTCTAGTAACACATTCCACTATACTTACTCACATCAGATATCAATTATTGCACTACGTACTCGAATAGATGAATGTGTCGCGCACAAAAAGCACAGCCAACAAACAAATGGATTACTTTGACGTCCTTGGTTGTCGCTGGCCTTCTAATTTGTTTCGTGTTGCTGATACTTGGTATATCTTGGGTTGAGAGAGGCAATATGCAAGGAACAAGGAGTACTCACCAAAGAAGAAGCGGTTGCATCCAAAGCTTATCCAACATTGGTGTTGAACGGATTCCATTTGAATCCCAAACTGCCTTTGGTTGGCTACCCTTGGCCTGTTTGGAGGGAGCTTCTTTTGGGCGTTTCCACCTCTCCATTCCCCGAACCGATGCCCTCTGATGCCCCCTCGCTGGCCTCGACCAGGAGTTGCTTCACATCCAAGCCGTTGGCCATCGACGGCATCCCGAAGAGCCCCTGGTGGGAACATGTTGAAACCCGACACGAGGCCGCTCCGGTCGTCCATCGCGTTACAGGCAGCTCGGATTCTCCTGCGACTCCTGGGGGGACGCGCAAAAGTCTAAGTAGGATTCTCCAAATGGGCCATGATATGAGTTGATCTTCCCCACTATGTGATGGAAGTGGTAGCTTCAACTTAAGGAACCATATTAGCTCTGAGTACTGCTCTGAGTATCCTCCATATTAGCACTGGTTCTCCGTAAATCGTTAAACATGAGACTTCAACAATGACCGTGGCAGCGCCCTGTCGGACCCCGCCTGTGAGACGGGCATGGCATTGAAGGCATCATGAGATAAGCGTGTCATGTCTGTTTGCAGTTAGCACGAAGCGACAGGTGGTACGAGCGCTGAAAAAGCGACATGTCTGGGAGTGTTCAGTTATTCATTGATCTTATGTCAGAGCTTGCGGTCACAACCCCCAGAAAGCTTGAAGTCAAAACGCAATATTTTGGATTTTGCATGATATTACTCTATAGATTGATTCCCCCGAAGCCCCAAAGCTTGAGTCAAGTCGAACATGTTGTCCTGGTTGTAAAACCTCTTTTGCTAGCAAGGGCCTGGGGATGTCAATTTTCCAGGGGATGTCCGATCGTATTATGGAGATCTCTCCAAATGCATCTTGTCCACAAATATAGATCATGTTTCCTGATGTTTTGGCTGCAAACAAATCACTTGGCTTCATCTTCAAAGCACTGACAGCTCCTAATTCGCCAGGAGCCGAGCTGGTGAAATCAAAGGATCCCTGTCTCACATAATCTCACAGGCGCAAACAAATCTCATGTGAATCTGTGAGGTTGTAAAGGCAGTGTGTCAAATGATTGTACTGTATAGTACCGTATAGACGTCTTAATTTGAGCAACTTGGTTCGTCACAACACCAAGGAACCTGGACAAGTTCTGGTCTCCGTTGTCTTTCGAACACACACACACAAACAAACATTTACAGTAATCTAATTTAGCATACTGTAATATACTGTATACTGCACAATATCTGCGGTGAATATCAGTGATGGGGCGGCCAACCCTTATCATGCAACTGTGCATGATTCCAATTGGCAATATGGTCATTTCTTACAACATGTTGTTCGAACGACATTCGGCAGTGTGTCGACCCACCAACAATAACCAAGCTGGATTTCTCAAAGGTCCCAACATGGCTCTGTTCTTTTTGGACGTCGTCGCCCTAAGAATAAGCTCTCCACGATGCACCCATCTCCGCCTTTGGACACCGCGTGTTTTTCCCCCCCGCTGCTCGTCTGGAGTCTGGAGCGCTCCGTGTCTGGAGCTCACAAGTCTGCAATGGTGACCTCCTTGAGCTGTTGAGGCCAGCGGAACAGAACCACCAGGAACAGCAACTGTGAACGTTCTGTTAGTGGCGCGTGAAAAATCCACATAGAATAAGAATAAAACAATGATTTTGTGATGTCTTCCACAATGTGTTGATTTACTATTTTCATGAAATGGCCTTGTTTTGTTGATGAGCTATCTGCATCACAAAAGTGCAGCAAAATACCCTTTGAAGATCACCCACGCGACCCACGCAAGTCCACAAATCCATCGACCGGGTCCCGGAATCCTCATCCCGTCAGCCCGCGATGCACACCACCAAGCAGACCAAGCAGCTCCCGCCGATGCTTCTCATGGTTGACCACCCAAGATGCTCTTCCCCCCCGTTGTCCATCCCCGGGAATTGGAAGAGCAGGATTGCCATGTGCCAGGCGCTGCTAGGGGAGCTGAAGGCCGAGCATCATGAAATGATCTGTTTGGAAAACACTCTTTTCACCACAACACCCACCAAAGGTGATGGAAGGGTCAAACGCACGCAACAATCAAAAACAAGGCTACACGGCTACACGTACGCTGAGACCGCACAAGAAGGGGATAGGGATCTCCTTGGTTTCACACCACATACGTGTCCGCTTCCCCCGGAACAACGTGTCCGCCGCTCGAAACCACTGGGCACTCCGCGCCACCTCCACACCGGGCCTGAGAGCACATCAAGGGTGAGCCATCTGTTGAGCGTCCGTTTTGGGGAACGAAACGGTGCCATTGGTGAGAATGAAACATTAAAGGTCGGGTCAATCTACGTCAATTTTCAACTCTAGTGGAATTCCACGGTCTCTTTGGATGGCACTTGGAGTTGAGACAAAAACGACAGCGACCTTCGGCAAATGCATTAGAACATAAGTTCAAGCCAACTGCCCAAAGCCAGTTCTCAATCTGTGGAGTTTGGTCGATGTCCAGGTGACCCCCAGGGCCAGCCGGCGACCGCCAGGTTTCCCCCGAGTGAAGATGTGAACTGTTGATCTCTACGGGCTCAACATCTGGCCATGCGCGACCCCATCTCCATGGTGAAACATGTGCATCAGGATAAAGGACGCATTTCATTTCCCAACTTCCAAGACCTAATTTTGTATGTGTTCACGGTCTTTTCACGTGCCGCAGGCACATTCTGCCAACACACCGGACAAGCTGGTGTGTTGACCCCCTGCATGATGGTGAAACTTGGGCCATGTTGTCAAACATGGCCGAAGCCCAAAGTCAATCAGTCTTCAAAGATCTTGAAAGATTGGTAGTGAGTAGAAGAACATCACATATCATCACGTATAGCTTAAGGCTTCACGCTCCACACGATCTAGACAGTGAGCTCAACTCTCAACAGTGAGCTCAACTTCAAAGTTGTTATGAAACAAAACCCCAAACAGAAAACACACGTATACTGCATGTCTCTTTAAGGATGTCTCAATTGTCTCAATCAATTCATCTTGTATAGAATGTCATAACGAGACGCAAGTCTTCTTGTTGTACCTGTATCTTCGGGGCTATAGGCTGATTCTGATTCCATGGCATAATTGGGTCGATTGCAGATTCAAAAGTTCAAACTCTTCTACCAAAGGCGGGGACACCAAGCCCTTCGCTGCACTTTGGCCTGTCAAGGCTTGCTGCAAAGTTCTTCCTTCGACATCCGACACAATCCTTCGACATCGGGCCTTCGGATCGACACAACACACATCGAATAAACCGACCGCTGGTCTCGTCTTGATCGGGCGAGTGCATTTGTTGGGTGCGGAAACAAATCGGACGATCAACACAGACCTAAGGAGCTAAGTGAGCTAAGCTATATGGAATTTGGTCGTCAACGAGGCCATGACACATGATCAATTTGGTTGCATGTGGATCCAGACTGCCGAAGCCCGGTCGACACCACTCTTTTGTTTTGAACATGGCTGGTTTACTTCACTTGGAAGTCAAGCTCGGTGAAAGAGTGAAAAATGTGAAAATAGTCAGCAACCAATTTCTATCCTTGGAGTCAGGAACTGCTCCAACTTTCCGCAATCCGCCTCTCACACTCAAGCTGGAAAAGAGGTGGAATTGGGGTGATCGGATCCAAGTCTAAGAAGTCCAAAGAAACGTCGGGTCACCATCTCCGAGCCTCCGGAAGAGCTCGAATCCATATAGTACTGATAGCCCGATTGTTTGTTTTGGGGACACCATCCTCATCCCGACTCTCACCACTTCGTCTCAAAGGGGTTCATGATGAGTCCACTACTCTTTTGACGCGTCCATCCAAGCGCGGCTTGCGGCCCCAAAAAGAATCTGTGCCTCGCAGCCGTGCCACTTCCGCCAAAAGCTCCTTCTCGAACCTGGCGCACATCGCGGAAGTGAGGAATGTCATTGAGCGTCATCCTTGAGTGGTTTGGAACATTCCAGTTCGAGGTACCGTTGTCCTGTTTGATTTCTTGGGGCCATTTCAGGGCCAGATCTTCGATTGGACCAGTTCATAGAAGAAATCCACGTCTGATGAGCTTGGTTGAGCTTGGCTGCAGATTGAAAGGCATTTGGGTAACCCCCACTACTGCATGGGCTTAATGGACAATAGTGTGATTCAAGCCTGGAGTCCTTGCGCTGTTCAATCAAGTGTCAGTGTCAGCCTGCCGTTGTTGCCAACATACTGCTAGAGATGAACCATGGACACCTTATAGTTTAACCAACCAACCCACTGGAGAAACCACTACAATACGGCAATGACCTTGCCGCTGCTGATCACAACTGTGCTTGCCCAAAGAATATCCTCCATGTCAGATACTACAAATTGGGCCGTCGCTGTGACGGGGTATGACAAACAACAAAGCTGATCTATACATCACGTGTCTGAAAAGACATGAACTGGACACAGTGAAACCCACCCAGAAACCTGGTGAAACATCCAAACACCACCTCAAGAGTGTTCAGAAGCAGTCTGTTCTGCGCCTGAGAGGAAGGACGTTGCAACAACCCATCATCTCCGGCAGGGACATCGCCGCGAGTTTTGTCTTAAGACCCTGGACGTCCTGCCGTGTTAAGACGGGAGCCATGGAGACAAGCTCATTGGCACACTCAATTCGGCTCTCTGTATGCAAAAGCTGGAGAAGCTCCTGACATCTCGAAAGCACACGACGTCAGAGAAGGAGTGATAACCGAGGAACTTCAAAGGCTCACTGTTCAAAACGGTCAACACCTGAAATAGGTTTGTCTTTCCTGGTGAGATTGCCCCAAAAAGCCATGGCATTCTGTCAATATTTATTCAGTACAACAATGACTGCATGCTGTGTGGGCAGATCCAAGGCTGCATTTCTCGCATGGATTGATTTGAGGTATTGGAACTCTGTCTATTTTCTCCCGTGCTGTCGCAGTCCAACTAATATGGCTGGGCACCAGGAGACCGACCAGGGCTCCAGGTATTGACCCATGGCATGCCAATAATACTGGAGGTGGCATATCGCAAAACCAGTGGCATTCTAACTGAACGTCCAATGGTATAGATGGGTGTGCGACACGGTGTGTGTTTGAATAAGACCCAACGGGGGTCTAGTTTCCTTGTTCACGGGGGTCGAACTGGGAGGCCTTCCTATATTTTCACACACACCTATATGGAAGATGTTGACAGACTTTGTTGAACTGACATCAAGAGGATTACAGTATGTGTTGCGCCGGCCACGAGCTCCCTACTTGACCCCTTAATACACCTAATTAAGCTGAGGGCCGTAAGACCTCAACCACTAAAAACGGGAAGAACTGCTGGAACATGGCTGAAACATTGTGAAGCCCTCACCCGCCGACGTAGGCGCTGGAGAACCGGTCCTGAACCTGGATGTGCTCGTTCAGTCGCTGGGCTCTCTTCGCCTTCAATTGGATGCTCAAGGAGAGGAGATTGATCCCCTCGTTCTTCGGCATCCTTTTCAACAAGTTGCGCTGTCGCTTGTCCAGCTTTGGGCCCTGGTGTGGCAGGTGGCAGTAGTTGCACATGTCACCACTTTCGCAAACACCACGGGCGAAGAAGCGGCAGGGCCCAATGCAAAAGTTTGGATGCCCCGCATTTCCCAAGTTTTCGATGAGAGGTTCTTCCTGAGCTATGCTGCACACCCCATATGAGGGTCAAACCTCTTTCATGGACTAAGCCTCAACATGCTTGAATTGCCTATACCTGTGGCGCAGGAATTGAACATAGTCTTCTGGATGATTTCTTTCGTGTGGCTCCGACATCCACAAAAAACAGTGAAAAGCACAAATGAAGTCTCTGGGAAAGTTGAGGAAACAGATTCCTCGTGCTGGATCTGCAAATCCTGAGGACAGCTGACTGCTCCTTGCAGAAGCCAAAGCTCCGCTGCTCCCAGATGTGCCTTACATCAAGTTTGTCAGACACAACATATTAATGTTCTGGCCACACTAAGGTCTCACTAACTTATATACAAAACTGAAATTGCCCCCAGATTCAGGACATGAACGTCCTGCCCGAAGTACCCCTGTCTCGCAGCGAAAAGACGCCGCAGGACAGAGCTTGAAGATTCGATTGGAAGACCTCCAAAATCTATGTGCAGGCAAGACCAACAAAGTGAGTTGTCCACCCTGATCCTAAATAGAGAACCAAACCAAAGCATAGATGCCAAGAGTGAACCCGTTTCTCTTTTATTTTGTTCCGAGCCACTGTGTGATGCTCCCCTTCCGATGAAGCTCTTCCAAGACCCTCACTCTCGTGGAAGACCATGCTTCCGATCCGCGAAGAACGCAGAAACCAAAGAGTGGCTGCCTGGCAATAACCGTGAAAGCAACATCGACCTCCGTAGCTCAGTAGAGCCACTTTGAGTCGACGCCAAAATTTGAGCCAAGATGTGACCGGTGAACGGGTCTCCCGAGACGAGTTTTGGCCTGTTTTTTCCGGTGGGTGTCTGACAGTTGGGAAGCCCTGGCGTTTTTTCTTTGAGGGGTTCTGGCTGGGAGGTCTCCCTATGTTGATACAGAATCATCCCTCAAGCGTCTCGTTTTCAATTATCTAAAAAGGCGCCCTCCTCCGCGTGACACACACACACACCCCTCTCCCCTCCAAAGAAACGCAGGTGTTCTACAGCGTGACCGTTTGGAGTCTAGAGAACACATGCGAACACACCCGAATGTTACGCGGAAATCCGTCATGTTCGACGTCCATCTGCCCAGTGGCTCGATGGAAATGGAGGTAATCTGCTTCACCACCTCGGGAGGAGAGCCGTTTTCGGTGATGTTGTGACCGGCGCGCGGCGTGTGGCGTGTCACCCAGGCGATCCATGGCGATCCGGGTGTGACCCGAACTGACCCCGGCCACGCGATGGCCACCGTGGTACAGTGACCAATCCTCTTCGGTGAGAAGTGGATTGCAAACTTAGGAGGGTAAATCACACCCCAAAAGAACGTAGAAGAATAACAACGTACACTGGCTTAATACACATTGTATGTGGGAAGATGGATCAATATCTGGAACTCCTCGTGAGAATTTGGGTGTGCATGTCCAACTAACTGATAAATGGGATACATCTTTGGCCTTTTTCTCATTGTCATTTTCTGCCTGTATTGGAACCGTCTCTCCTTGGAGACCTCCACCTTGGAGGAGCTAGCGACGACCTTGTTTCGATGCAAGCGAGGAAAATGAAAGCAAGCGCCCTGCGGAAGGCTTTGTGCATTGAAGGAAAGGCACTCCGCTGGGATGTAAAAACAAACACTGCGAGTTTGTAGGATATCCTCAAAGTCAGAAGACAAGCTCATACACTGGTTGAGCTGAACAAGGAACTGTCAACAACTATAGGTGCTGTGGCTTGGTTTCTGTCACATCTCAGAGTAGTTTCCCTTCCAACAACCACACCAGGCGCCCAAGTCACATCGGATGGAGAATGCAGGTCGATCAAGCGCTTGTGGATGCGCATCTCCCAACGGTCAAAGGTGTTGGTGCCTGGCGCTCTGGGCGTCCGGCCGGAAGGGCGTTTTGAGCTTTGCACAGAGAGAATTTCCTAAACAAGTATCTATCCCGCCCCATTTAAACCTTGCTTGTCTCGTTCCAACCAAACCCCCCGAAAAAAACACTCAGCAGGCTTCTCCTATTCCGAAAGCGTTCTGAGATGCAAAAACATGCGCACTGTTGAAGGGACCCAAACCGAAACCCGTCTATGTTGGAACCTGTCATTGGATTTTGGAACCTATATGGTCAATGTATGTCAATGTGTTGCTCTTCAAAGTGACCACCAATCTCTTCCCTTCTGATCCCGTCGACGGCTCACTTCTCTGCGTGGCAAAACCCCAACGTGGAGATCAACTTGTATTTTTACCCTTGTTAAACTAGTACACAGTATTTCCATTCCTGATACTATCCCCAATCACCATGCAAACGTTAGACTTGGTCTTGTTAAGCCGGATCAGATTGCTGTCAAGGACACCTGCACAACCCCTTTTCAGAAGGTCGAAAAACTGATCGCTCTTTTCCCTGGCATGACTGGCTTCCCTGTGAAACAAACGGATTGAAAGAGAGCAGCGGATACCAAGAAGCGACACAAACGGGATGCCAAAACATCGAATGAAAACTGATCACCCTCCATCCTAAGCCTTGGAACTCCAACAAAACAGTGACACTTTGTCATTTGGAATCCTTCCATTGGTTGTGTTTTCTGTCCTTTTCTGGTGCTTTCTGCCTTGCTACCAATGGATATCTTGTCTTTTTTTTCTCTTTGGTCAGGTCTCAGCCCTTCTTTGATTACACGTGCCCATGATTTTCCAACATCGCCGTCTCACAAGGACACGTTACAATATGGTTATTTGTTCTGCACAAATAATGGACGGCAAACATGGACGGCCTTGGTTTGCCTCCAGAAACGCTCGGTTCGCTGTGTGGCTGCCAGGTTCGCTGTTGTTGTTGTTGTTGTTGAATTTGTCTGTCTTTGTAGAGATTGACTGGTGGTTTCGAGTCAGGGGGACAAACAACGCCCATTTTTGTAGGTTGCTAGTGTTAGCCCCTTTACTGTGATGCCGGTGTTGGCAAACTCATCTGACTCCTATTTTAGAAGAACACAGGCACCCTCCCTTAAGTAGACACTGAAGCCGGCAGGAGACTTTAGAAACAAATTCTCAAGTTCATTCTAGTTTCTATATACTTATATAACAAATATGGTACAGCTAAGAACTACCAACCATCCCAATAGTTTGAAGTCTTCTGAGCCTAGTAGCTGTGGTTCCAAACAAGTTTCTTCACACAAATTCTCTACACTGCACGCATAGGTCTGCGAGGAGGTCACCTCATGGTTTCTACTGCACATGTAACATATGTATATATACAATTATATGTTATCCATTATTACACACTTATTGGAAGTTTACCTCCAATCAATGTCTAAACTTGTGCTTTGTGCATGTCTCCAATAGAAGAAAACCTTCATCCCTACGGCGCTATTGCTGCTACAGTAGGTTTTGTCAGATTGCCCCATTTCGACATGCACGCACACGGGCACTCTCTTTGTTGAAGAAACATGGAAGCAACGCATTGCCTACTGGAAGACGATATTTGCCTTCAAACTGAGTTCGCCAATCCATATTTCTGGAATCGACGGTTCAAGAACATACAAGTCCGCTACACCTATGAGAGAACCGGGAATTTCCTTCCGCCAAACTATGCTCCTTGTTCCCCTTCCAGCTCCTCTCGTCGCTGGGCATTCCACATCGGCACTCACCCGCCATAAGGCACTTGTTGGCGCCCATTGAGCCATCCGGAAGTGGAAGCCGGACTCTGGAGCTCGAAACGTAGGTCGACCAACATCTCGCGCGCCACCTCGGCTGGACACACCAGCAGGGCTGTCCGATATGATCACATGAGGCGCCTGCGTGAGGTGCCTGCGGCAGGTTCCTTAAGCAGTTAATTGATTCAAGCAAAACACACAATATCCAACTATATATACATAATAATTGTATTTTAGTACTATATTAGTATATATTTGTTCTCTCAATGTGTTGAATCACCACCCAATCACCACCCACCACCTCCATATGGAAACCATTCACCGACGCAAGGCTTCCTCCCATCTCCACGTACCGCGCCGGCGCGAGGCGCCACCGGGTCACTGGCTCCATCGGCGACACGACTCCGAAATCGCCTGCAGGCAGGGTCGCCGTGGGGGGCGCAAGATGGTTTTTCCAAGGTGCGGGGTGGAAAAAACCATCAAAGGCTCATGGAAACACCGGTGTTTTGATGTGCAGATGGGTGGTGAAAGCAGTGACAGCCATGACTGGATTGCTGTTTGAATTAGCTTTGCATCAGTCGATTGCCTGGTTGCAGGTCCGACAAACGTTGGGAGCATAAGGGATACATCGGAGCCAAATCGGAATGAGAGGGGGAGCTCCAAGCACAAAATTGGTGTTTTGGTGTTGTTTTGGTGTTTTGTGTGAGAGCCATCACTCATCAAACCAAACCATTCACTTCTGGTCTTTGTGGGTTCGGGCCATTGAATAAACAACACGTATGTTTTCCACGTTTAAAGCACTCACATTTTTGCGGCACACATATATAATGGGCGCTAAGATCAAAACAAGCTGGGCTCACTCCACTTCAACATCCCAATCAAAATGTTTGACTTCAGAAGAAGTGATATTCCTTAGATTCTCCACATATGCTCCTTTCATCAGAGAAGTGGGACAAAAGCATCTCACCGTCCGCAGCGTCCGCAAGGTGGGTTCAGGGTGCAGGCGCAAAGGCTGTGAGGCTGACTGGATCCCCAAATCTCCTGTGATTATGTCGGGCACGCCAGCCATAGATACAAGGAGCCAAAATAGTTTTATAAAGCAAAAACAAAGCAAAAAAAAGCAAAAGGCAAAGCAAACAAAAAAGCAAAAAAATGTAGCTGTGCGTATTTGTCGCTTTTTTTTCACTTTTTTTTCGCTTTATTTTCGCATTTGTTTCGCTTTATTTTCGCTTTTTTTTTTCGCTTTTTTTTCGCTTTTTTTCGCTTTTTTCCTAGGAGGGTACAGCAAAAACATATTTGTCGCTTTTTTTTCACTTTTTTTTCGCTTTATTTTCGCTTTTTTTTCGCTTTATTTTCGCTTTATTTTCCCTTTTTTTTCGCTTTTTGTTTTGCTTTGTTTTTGCTTTTTGCTTTGTTTTTGCTTTGTTTTTGCATTTTCATTTGCTTTTATTTTGCTTTTTTTTCACTTTTTTTTCACAAAAAAAATTATTTGATGGTTGGCCATGTATGGCTGCCATCGCCCAACATAATCCTGTGAGTTGTCCTTCAGGCATGTGACACTTGGACAGACCTCTGTTTCTGGACTTAAAGTTTCAACACAAGGTGGAACAGGTGACATTAAGTGTTCGATAAACACCCTACTTACAAACTATACTCAACAAAAGCAGCCCCACGTGCCAAAGAAGAGGAGTTCCAATTGTGCAGATTCGCTCACTGGCTCGTCCATTCCAGGGCCAAATGATATTTATATATATAATCTAGGCCCAGCAAACCAAATATAGGGAGAGCACGTATACTCCCCCGTTCCACTTAGTTGCCGATTGTGTTTTTTCTTTGCTGCCTAGCAAGCCCGGGGTGAACCGAAGTGACTGTCATAACGGGCAAGTTGCCTCACACCTGACCCTTGTGGAGACACACATGGGTGCTTGGCTCAAAATGACGAAGTCGCCACCCACTGGGCTGTGAACAGCCAGGTTGCGGCTGGGACGTCGGCGTGGTGTCCAAGGCAGCTTGGAAACGGGGTAGTCCTGGAGTAGCAAAACGGCATCGGCATGAGTACGATCCCAAGCTTCTGGGACTGGCTTCTGTTTGGGAACATGAGTGCTTTTAAATGCTTTTAAGGCTTAAATGGCCGTTGTCAGCTGACGTGATGGCTCAAAATCAAAGGACACTTCGGTCGCAAAGTTGGCTCGACTGTGTTCCTAAAATTTCTATACAGATTTGGTAGATTGTGGGACATGCTGCAGACTAAAACCTGGAAACTCATGATACAAATTTATCCCGTTGTCCATGTTCTTCGGTCCAAAGGTCTTTGCGGTGCATTTTTGCTCCAGTCCTTTTGGGGGTTTCTAGAGACCCAGATTGCATCGCAGAGATGGAACTGAGCCCATCACTTAGCAAAAACATATCGCCAACGAACCCCCCCAGGACCGCTCCGAAGAGCGACCTGCGACGGAATGAGAAGACCGATCCGTCTCCTCAGCCATCCCCAAATCCAAGGCCAACTCTTTGCCTTGGATCGCTGGGAAACGAAAAAGAGGTGGGAAGAGAAGTGGGAAGCAATAAGAAGCTACTGGAGGCATCGCTACGAACGGAACAAAGGGCATCGCTACTAGGAGCAAGAACGCTACTAGAGGCTACTACTAGGAGCAAGAACGCTACTAGAGGCTCCTGGCCTTACTACT